GGCCTTTAACACTCAATATTATTTTTATTTAACATAAGCCAATAAAGAGCTTCCACACATAAAATAACAGTAGGCTTAGCCAATAAAAATATATAAAATACAAAACAAGATTATGCAAGATTAAAAAAACTGTACAGAAGTCTCCGCCCGGCAGGCAGACAAGGCCATACTTTAAACTGGCATCCAGGCACTCCATCGAACGTCCTATTGTTAGCATCTCAACTGACCCACTTCTGTCAGAGCGGCGCTCAAAGTGAATTTCTGCAGACCAAGGAGGAAAGTTTTTTCCTCCATGTATAGATCAACACCGGCCACACAGTCAGTGACATTTGTCACGTGATGTTGCGTACTCTGTTGATCTGATCTCATCCACACACACGAGGTATCCAATATTAATTGTACAGTAGTTGCATAGGCCTAGTTGCTGTATATAATATATATTGATGCCTACGTTTAATAATAGAGAAAATAGATGTTCTATTTTCTCTATAGTTTATTGAATGATGTTTGGCGAATACTGGCGTCCATTTGTGTTCCCATGTGATATGTATGCAGGGAGTTGATAAATGTTTTTTCGTTCGTCGTCAGCTTCTTAGCTGGTAGGCTGCTATTTAACGAAGATAGGTCTTTCCGACAGAGCAAACGGCACTTAGGCCTACATGCATGTGCTGCCATTATCGTCATTACCACTTAATTTAACTATTAGGACTATGCAGCCTTTAAACTTTGAACTTGGTTCATTTCAAAGTAAAACTTGTTCAGTATTTTTAATTGTACAAAAACGGTAGTTCAACCGGGGCCTGGTCTAACGACACAGACGCGTTTGTCGCCCAAAACAATAGAAACAATGGCAAACGCGTTTAACAGCACAAACCCGTTTAGACGCGTCTGGGACATATTCCGACTAGCTTATTAATATTCATGATGCACGATAATTAGACGATCGCTTTCCCAGACGCGTTTCTGTCGTTGGGGATAATTTGTAGATCGCGCCTTATAAACAACCTACTTTTGAAAATTTATCAAAATAATTAATATACTTGTAGCGTATATTTAAATTTTCAACCTAATTAATATGAGTTGCCATTTAATTATTTTTCTTTTTCTTATTTCATTCGAATATTATAACCAAGTGCAGTGATTGTTTCTTCTAATGTCTTGGTTCGGTCATTATATTTGCTGATGATATTAACAAGTCGCTGTTGATGGTTGACTGTCACCTTTGTGATACGTCTTACTGGTACTGGTTGTCCTCTCCTGAACAATTCTATTAGTGTTGCTGATGCCGCTTCATCTCGTTTGATACCATCGATGGCTTTCCAGATTGATGGATTAGTGTGCCCTACGTTCTCGAGATGCTTCCTATTCCAGGATTCACATAGGTTGTTAGTTCTAGCTCCTCCATTTAGCGTAAGTTGGTGAACGTTCCAGATGTCTATTCCGAATGTTGGTGGCATTCTCCTGAAGATTTGTTGGTCATTCTGTGCTGCATGATGTGTATAAGTTCCACTAACATAGGTCACATCAAAGTAGTCAACAAAGTCAGTTAATACCTCTGGTATGTTGTCCTTTAACAACTGCATACCTTCAGTGACCTACACAAAAGAAACAATAAAAACATAATTGAGCAAAATGTAAAATAACAGTATCAGATTGTGCATTTCATTTGTTTAAACTTCATGTGATGAGACTAAGACGATTATGATCAGATATATTTTTTTAACTTTCACAGAAACATTATTCACTCAATTCAAATCAATTTCACATATTGATACATAATATTATAATAATAATAATAATAATAATAATAATATAACAATAATTATAGTAATAATAATAATAATAATAATAATATATCTGATATAATTAAGAATAAAAACTTATGTATAGTTAACTTTTAAAAATTATATTAGTTGTTAAACATTCAGAATAAAACATACCTTATCCGGGGGAAGGAAAGCAAGTCCATCCACCATTCCACAGAAATGCTGTATTTCTTCATCTTCTAAGTAAAGAGATGCAAGGCCCAGGGATTGTAACTTTCTCCATGATGCTTGTGTAAGGTGATAAAAACAGCCATGAATTGTGATGTTTTCTCCAAACACAGCACGTGCAGCATCATACCAATCTCAAAGTCCATGTTTAAAACAGTTGGATTTGGTGTGTAGCCATTCAAGGACAATTTTTACATCTTTTCCTTCTGATGTTTCTCTTCAAAGAATCAGTATTAGCCATCTCGACTCGAACATTTAGAGGTTGCTTTGACAACTCATCCATAACTAGCTGAGCTGGTGTTGCCCTAGATGATGCTGCTTGGTAATTGATATGGTGTCTCACTTTCTCTACACTTATCTTGTTGTCAGCAGCATGACAATGCTCAGATACAAATTTGACTACAGTTCTGTCAATGTCTGTGTGTAGAACTCCTTTGCATGCAAACTTACACCGATTAGAGCACTCCCAAATGATAGAACTTTTGTTGGACTTGCGTTTCGTATACAAATATCCAAGATAGCCTAACTTTAATCCAGATGTGTATAAGAGACAGACGGTACACAAACATTCACTTGTATGTTTTATCTATATTTTGACATTAACATACTGTAGGCCTTTAACACTCAATATTATTTTTATTTAACATAAGCCAATAAACAGCTTCCACACATAAAATAACAGTAGGCCTAACCAATAAAAATATATAAAATA